TTTCTCATGAGTTGCAGCAAAAACCAACGTTCTAAACATTGCCCACGCATATCACACAACAACTCATTTCTGCGTGAAGCTTCTGCTTTGTTTATGTAGAACATGAATGTTGGGTGATCTGGACTCCAGCGCTGCTGACCGTTTTCGAACTTTTTTAACTGTTCGTTCATGCTATAAAGAATTACAAACATATCGGAGTAATGATAAATTCATGAATTATTATGTCGATAATGTGTTAATACGGTATTCCAAAAATCAAATAACAGAATCACGCATCACTGTACCTATTTAATTTTGAACTCAATACTGAATACTCCTCGTTAGCCAAATTAATTTCTTTGAGCTTTTTCCTAAAAGGAGAAACACAAAATTTAAACTACCAATCATGGCGAACATATTCGTTTTATTTACTTAGTTATTCCACTGATTATGATGCCTTTGATTTAAAACAGAACACAAACAACACACACTTACGATGTATCATAATACTCTTTAAGCTTTACTACATAACGTTCAGCAACATCAGTTGAAGATGCTGCATCTACTGTAAACAAACAAAAATAAATAGAGAGATAAAAATGTGAAAATTACCTATATGCGTTAATATGAAACTTATAGATACAAAGCTTACCTGCATTTTTCCCCACTTGCCTGTTGCTAAACAATTCGTTTTCTGATTGTGACCATTTTTCTATGGTTGCTTCATTCAAGGTAACACCTACATTGAATACACAATACATGTATTATTTAGCAACTTGTCCATTTATTTATTTTTCCCCATAACAAACTATAAGAAAACATCGAGTTCTTCCATTCATATATAATTAATATGTAACTCAATGTATCAAGAACGAACCGCTTTCAGTAAGATTTCCAAGGAGCACGGTCAACTGATCATTTGTATCGGCTTTCATGTGTACTGCTTTCTTCATATGGTCGCAGAGACGGTCTCCTGTTGGCGAAGATATACAATATGTATAGTAATTATTTACTTCTAGAATGGTTGTCAACGGTACATAGAAAATATACTGCGAGAACGTGCACAGTATGTTATCAGTTTATACGAGTGAATACTGAAGGATATTGATAATCCAACGAATATTTAAAGCAATTTACCCTTTATACAAAATACAATTATTCACAAGCCTCGCACGAACAAAAGGGCACTGACTACAGATATAAATAAACCTAGATTGCTCATCCGATGAAGCAAAATGAATGACGAATGGGAGTACCGAGATGGTGACCAATTTATCTTATTCATATACAGTGACTGCATTCAGCCAATCAGAACGCTGGATGTTGGAGTAGATGGCGGCGAGCGGCTTCAAAATTCGATTACTGGATTACTGAGAAGCGCGATCTAGGTTTATTTATATCTTTGGTACTTGACAAACTTACCAATTTGTGCAACAGATTTCCTTCCATAGTGCAAAAGAAAGTCTGTCAAAGCGTCCACTCTATGTGAAGGGGTCATTTCCTTGGTAATTTTAGCTGAGGGTCTCAGGTACGACCACATTCGCTCCATGACTTCCCCATCACTTAAGCCAAACCCCTCTATTCGTCGGCCACTATAAAGAACCTACAGTACAAAAGGTGAAGTACATTAAATGTATAGAAACAATAAACTATTATACTATTAAAAAAACTTGTGAAGAGGATTTATTTTCAAATTTCAATAGTAAGAATTATATAGTTAGCGGGCTCCTTGTAACGCAGTGGTTTAGGCGCCCGCTTGCGAAGCGTGGTTCCCAAGTTCAAATACTGTATGATACAGTTTTATTAAAGGGGTACAGCGAAAGTTCCACTCACTACCTAAACGATACAACAAAATTCAATTGTATCGTTTATGCTCATGTTGTTATCCGCTACCTACACTGGCAACATATTGAAGGTAATTATTGTACATGTACAGTACCTAGAATAAGACATGAATGCACGAAAACATGAAATTCATTTCTAGTTGTTTGTGGTGTTATACTCTGAGTGTATATCCACACCGGGCAAGCTTGAAAAATATGCCTGGCCACGGAATACTAGCCCAAACAGCATATTCACCTGAGTACACAACACCAAAGAAAAAAAATCATTTCTAGTGTTGATCAAAAAATCTTAAATGAGCGTCAGCCTAATGGAGTTTTGCTTACCACGAAATAGTACAACAAAACTCGCTTAATGGTTGAAATAGATACTTAGCACATGTGTGATCATCACTTTGATGTGTCATGATATATACATGACAAAATTACTCCAATCTTATTGGTTAAGAGGAATTTCATTAATTTCACTCATGGCAGTGCAACTAATGATTTGAAAAAAGAAAATGGCAGTCCATTTTCTAACCACAAATGAGTACTGCTAGTTGGTTAAAGTTTTAGAAGGAATGGGCTCTGTGCCGAAACTATGATGTTAAAATGGAAATTAAATTATCCACGAGAATAGTTAAATACTGCGGGTGGGAGTATAGTTATAATTTTGTCATGAATATAATAAATAAATAATCACACAGACAGTCGTGCAATTAATGATTTACACTATTCGTGATTTTTGAAAAATGTGACAAATTTAGCACACTTTCCAAAAATCACTCGTAGTGTCAATCATTAATTGCACTCCATCTTGTGTGATTACCTACACTAATTTATGATTGGTGAATAAAACCCAATAAAACTCTCTTAGATTCTTTATAAAAAACATGTAATAGCAAAACATTTATTGTAAATTCGTACGTAAATTATAATTGTTATAGATTCGACACACAACCTTTAAGTGAGATTCCAGTGTACATGCGATATCATAATATAGGTAGATATCCAGATTTGCAAAATTTTGTTTTAGCCATTTCAGCAGATAAACTGCATTGCCAATCCTACATAATGTATAATGTTATACTGTAGATCATACAACACTGAGGGTAAATCACACACTACAGATACTTTTGAAGCCACTGGTCAATAAGATGTCTGACTACCATACTGTACAGTAAATGTATTGCTGTAAACTAATAGAAAACATTCAGAGATTGACTTACTGTTCTCCTCTTTTAAGACTAAAGAATTTTATTGGAACTTCATGTCGGCACCCAGCACCAAATATGGCTGTTTCATCCAATTTCTTTGTCTTTACTTTAGACCTTAGACTGGAACCAGCTTGAAAATTATTGCATGATTCCTGGAAACAAAATTGTGTGCTTTTCACTTACACTCACTGTAAATACTCAGATCAAGGTAGAAAGTCTTATATTTGGTGTCAACCTGTTATTAATATAAAGATAAATGTTGAATACATGTATATTGCCATCCTTGTGATGAAAAGTTAAAAATTTTAGCTTTCAGTCCACAATTTTACTCCTCATTAACTATTCTGTAAATACATGGTAAATTGATGTAATTAGCATTGAGCACATATTACTGTGATATATGCATGCATCGTACATATACATACTTGTAATTTCAATGATGATTTTCCTTGGTAATTCTTCAAAAATGAATCAACCTTTGACTGCTCAATAAAAAGTGTTTCACCATGGTTTGGTGGTCTAACACTTGTTCCTGCACTGACTTTCCGAACACAGCCAAATAAAGCATCCAATGAAATAAACATGCTTCCATTTTCCTACAAAAAGGTAATTTAAATGACATATGTGTATATCTGCATAATAATATACTGTATGACAAGCAAAACAGTAGACACACATCTTGCATTTAAAAGGGACTAAATTGCATAGTGCAGCTTAGTTGAACTTGCATGTAAATGTAATCTGGGTATCAACACAAAGTAAAACAAAACTCAGGGCACCTGAAGAATTAGTGTAAGCATAAAGTACATTTACTCAATTATACATTAATCTACTGTATCTATACCTTTGGGCAAGCAGGACATTGCATGTCACAATTTAGTTGTTGGTTTTTGCCTCCAAATGTATCCAACAAGTGGCAATGATACCTGTATTCCCCAAAAGTTTCACCAACTAGCAGCCGATATATGTCTTTAATCTATGTTATTCAAAAATTTAAGAAACTATCAGTCCTCATTATTTTGTTTACTAATAGTCTATTTTATATTTGGCATGAATACATCCACAAATCCTTTCATTTCAAAGAACTACGTATAAGTCATACTACTAAACAAAAACATCCAGCATGGCACATATTACATCAATGCTATATTGCATCTAATTAAAAGGGCTTGACAATTTGCTTCGCTTGACAGTTTCAAAATTCTCTTATGCCACCCTTTCTCTCACAAACATTTGTACAAGCCTGTTGTTTAACCCATTGAGCTGCATTGTGCTGTAGTGTGCTCTTACTTGTCTTATGTCTGACAATTTTACTTGTCAGTAGGGAAGCTCTGCAACTTAATGGGTTCATTAAGTTAAACCTTTTGTAACCCTCTTGCTGCAGAGCTTCCAATTGACAAGAAAAATTGTCTGGTGTTGGACAAGTAATGCAAGTTAATGAGTTAAATGATTGAACAAGGTACATGTATGTACTAGTTTCATTATTATAATGATTACTCCTCACTGAAGTACCCCTCACCCATTGTCTGTCACTCTGTCTCCATTGTGATAAATTTTCAGTTCATATTGATTTACTGAATATTTACATGCACAATATTATATGGATGGGCATTAAAATCAAGATAAAGTATTCTTACATGGACAGGTGAAAGTGTAGGCATAGTCCAATTTATTGCTTGACAAATTGATTTTAATGATGCTCTACACTCCAAGAACATATATTTCAGGATTTCCATGAAACCATTTTCAAAGGCTGCTTGTGGTTCTTTTGGTGATGCTGGCCACAGTCCATGTCGCACTAATGTCACTGATTCAGGCTCATGACAACAAAATTTAAATTTAACAAGATGTTGACGGCCTACAGTGGGCAGAAATTGTTCTGTTTAATATTCACTTTTTACAATAAATATACATGCCGATTCAAAGCCACATAATGCAATGTACTCTCATGATTATAACATTAAATAGATGCAGTCACTCAAAGGGTTATTGAAATGGTTAAAACAGTGTATTTCATCAACTACATATAGCACACCAACATTTGGAATTAAACAGTATTATGATCAGAGCAATAATGCAACTGTAATAATACAACTTACATATTATAACCAGGCCCTTAGCGATAAAATGAATGAAAATAACACAAGCATTTAGCCCCTTAACTGAATTAATGCATCCAGATCTATGTGCCCAACTATTATTAATAATACTTGCCAAGGGACTTACAGCATAGAGGCGTAATAGGCTAAATAAATTTGAACCAAATAATGCTACACAACAGCTACATATCAGTTTTGTTAATAACGACAATGTCTCGACAGTAACCATGATCTGCATTATGTTCTGTATTCCACACCTCCATTCCACCAAACTTGTATGGAGCATATCTGTTATTCTACAATGTACATGCAGAATGCTTAAATATGTATTTACTACTAGAATTATCAACTAATATATTATCTGTGTGTCGATGATGAAACATTTTTAAACTATAAAGAAACTAAATAAGAATCAAAACACTGTCAGTAACCCATTGGAAAGTCTCCATTGAAAAGTCTTCATTGAAAAGTTTTCATTGAAAAGTCTCCAGTCAGCATGTATAAACTTGACAACTTTTGGATTAATCTGGATCTTCCAGATAAACCTAGGACTACAGTATCGTACAAGGTTTTTGAAAATCAAATCTAACATCTGAGCATGTCTGGGCAGTCCCCAAAAACAACAGTGAAGCATATACCTTCCAAATCTCAGGACAGTGTAAAGTCAGGCCACCAGCATGTATCATGCTTGTATGTTCATCACACATGAAATGAACAGGGCCACAGTCCAGGCATCTGCAACACGCTTTTTCTTTGCATGAAGGAATAATGCAGTACTGGTCTTCGGGTAAAGCTTGCAACTCCAACGCAGCTAAGTAAAGCTGGTTGCGAACATCAAGCCATGCATCCCCAAGTCTAATTTTCTTGTTTCTATAGCTGTTTATTTTCTTCTTTAAACGAAGCTTTCCGCATTTCGGTTTCGAATGAAACGTTTTGCCAACATCATCATCCGCACCAAAGCTTACTTCTGGAGGCGAGTCGCATGAATATTGCCCACCAGAAATAGATGACAATGATGTACTTGCATTCTGCCCAGAATCATATTTAACGGGAACAGTAAGCGTTGATCTTCGATTGACTTTCCCGCCTTTATAGCTCACTACTTTTACAGTCTTTCTCGCTTTAAAACATCTCCGTGATGACATAGTATGGTTTTGCTTTGAAGAATTGCTCTAATAAAAGCTTCTGTAAACTTGTCCCGCTGAAAATGGAAATTATATTATTATTAAAATCACGAGTCACCCTTCGAGCAGCCATATTGAATTGAAATAGTGAATTCTCGTACTTAGTCTCTTGTTTCGTTATATTGCGGGAGGTACGGTTACTGAGACACCTATCTTTAACGCATACATGCGTTGATTATGTTTTAATTGAGTATGTTAATAAGCGTGTAATTATAGACGTACCGGGTGCAAATAGGGCCTGACACAAAACCTGTCTAGACCGTGGGACGCCCACATGTTATTTTTAGACACACATGCAATATGATTGACAAGTGTTGTAGATTTCGTTACACAAAAAATTTATATTCTCATGAACATGTCCGCAGAGCATTTTGCTTTTTAATTAAACTTAAAAATTCAAAGTACTTTTATATAATTAAGAGTCAGTTTCTCTATTTAACCGAACAGGCGAACAGCAAACAAAGATTTAATTAGTCAGTTCTGTGCACGGCTTGACTGCCAAGCTTTCTCAAGGTCTCAACTTGCTGGACGCGGATATACTCTAACGACTAACGGGCTAATAACAGCAACAATTAAATTCTCAATCATACCACGAAGAAGGCGATGTAGAAACAATTACGACGGTACGACCTGATATTAAAAATAAGACTTTTGCCGGCGAAGCAAGTTGGCAGAACATCTTGGCTGTCAACAACAAGCTTTCGAATACATGACTAGTTTGGCTGTTCTTTCAGCGTCGTGTGTGTCCAAATTCGTCAAAGATTTTGATGAAGCCCTTTCAAAATACTGTTTGTTTGATTTATTTTCTGCCATAAAGCATAAAAGAAAAGAAATTCGAAGAAATCGATAATGGAATTTGTTACGTGCGTTTGACCTTTATATTAATTCTCGCCTTGACCGAACTATTTTTAAAACTGTTGTTTATGTGAACTTGCAACCAATCAAAATCCTTCATGATGCTGATCAACCAATCAGATTTCCCGTCCACCAGGTGGACGGGAATCCCACACTTTAGATAGGTTTTGTGTCAGGCCCTATTCTGTGATAGGGCCTGAACTTCAGGTTACCATTTCCATGACTACTGGTCCCTAAATTCATGGTAATTGCCACTGAACAAGGCTCAATTGTGAGCCTGCCACAGTTTTCACACACACCCCTGGTTTCTGCAAAAAATATTTCGGATTTTTGCAGTGAATTCTTGTTCTTTTGTTATTTTCGACATATTTTTCCGACGTTTGACCATTTGTTCAAGGATGTGAAAGTCGTACACGTTATTCTCGTCCGTGAAAGACAACAAACAACTATTAAAACCTCCCAAAATGTGGAGAAAAACGATATTTCAAGCCGGGCTATAAACAGCAGTCTATAAACATGCAGTCAACTATAAACAGGTAAACATTTTAAAATTCGCATTTTTATTTTGGTATTTCATGAAAAAATATTAGGAATAAATGGTAAAATGTACTCTATTTGTTAGAAAATAAGCCACAAGTGTTTATGTGGTTGTAGATAAACCTTTTTGTATTTACTGTATTAACTTTATGCAATAATTTCATCCCTCGCAATATCGAGTTGCACAGTACATGTATATGAAGAGATGAAACTATGATGTGCTATTGTGCTGGTGTATTAAAGAGGAAATTAAGGTTTTATATATTTAGCCAAGGGTTTTGTTATGCATGAGCTTGTGGTGGACTGGTGCAGGATAAAGCTCAGCTGCCTAGGTGGGGCAGCTGATCTGAGAAGTGAGAAGGCATGTTTTATATCCAGAATTGTACATTGTAGTTTTAATATGTGCTCTCTGATAGTTTGTTGTATGTATCTTTAAAAGGCCATTAGCTTGTTTGCCTCATCCCTCAAATATTAAGTTAATTATCGACTAGTTCTGCCACACTGCAGTAAGCGAGACTTCACTGTGGTTTTTTAATATTTTTATAGTGGAAATTCCTTTCAGTTTGCATGGACAACCTGACTGGCTCAGTTTCAGATCTCACTTATTTGAACAAGACAAGATCTCTAAATGGTTAGACAAGATAACACTAACCTGACTGACTTGGTCAAAATGAAGTCAAAACAACAAAATTGGTCATGATATGATATGGTCAAAACAATAGAGATGCAGAATTTTGCAACAATGCATGAGTCCATGCCACTGTTGTTTAACTGTTAATGAAACTCAGTACCATTATCAACATGATTGTAAAATAAAGATTCAAAATCTTGATTAATTTGGTATTATTTTTTATAATTAAACTTGGTCAAATAATAATTATCAAATTAATAATTATAACTGTACAATCAAGTTACATGTGATAGAGTATTATTATCACTGTAGCTCCATGGGCTATTCTTTCAATTCTTTGGCTGTTCCCTGTTTTGATGCCTTCGGCCATTTCTTGTAGTACATATAACACATGCCCAGAACATTTTGGAGAAAAGTCATTGTTAGTTTTCCAGATACGGTAGGTCTGGCAAGTGCCACCACTACACCACTATTCTTGTTATTTGAACATTCCAAAGAACTTGTCCACATGACTTACACCACCGGATCACCCTAAATGAGAAAGGTCAATTATATTTATAAAATAGTGACAGCTAGTATAATTAGAACACACTTTGAAGAAATAGTGAGTCACATATACCAGGCTCCAATTACATGGAAATTTACTGTAGAGTAGTTAGACATTATTTATATGTTAACCCATTGAGCACCAGTGCTCTCTTGTTGACAAGTAAAATTGTTGGTGTTAGACAAAGTAACACTAACATATAAAGTAGGGTGCAATGCAATTGAACCCATTGGGTGGCAGCACTCGAGCTCTCCACTTGACGAGTAAAATTGTCTGCCATTAGACACTCTAGAGTAAAATATTGTAGCCCTAGCGTATTGCCACTTAAAGGATTAAAAATGGGTTCATTACAGGTCAAATAAATTGATTCAAGCATTTTTCACAAATGAGTTCTGGCATTTATAAGCCCTAGCTTGCAACCAACTTTAAAGTATACAGCAGTTAATTGCACCAAAGCTTATTATTTTACTCTCAGGCAGTCTAATGCCTGGCAATTTTACTTGTCAAGGGGACATTCTTGTCAATTAATTGTATTTCTTAACTTCCCAAAGTTTCATTTTACATTTAATTACAATATATCACAAATGATCTTGCAGATCTAAGAGAGAAGGTTCACAACAATCACAAATAATATGTCTAACTGAAATGTTGAGCTCTACTCCAATAATGGGGACACCACCACTGAAACCTGAAACTGCTCTCAAACATGTCATCAATCAATTTACATAGGTTAATTGTCAGAGCATAATGTTGGTCAATGCCAAGGTGACTGGCACGAAACTGTGCACCTTTCA